TTATAGCTCCACCCATCTTCCCATGGGTGGAGCTATAAGCTTAAAGGTTATTTTATTAAAATAATCTTTAAGTTAAGCATTCCAAAGCATAATGCTGCCAACGCCATGTTTCACTGTGGCGATGGAGCGCTCAGTGTGACGTGCCGCACGAAGCATTTTGAATGCTACGTGCATTCAAAATATGAAAAAGTTGAAAAAGTTCATATTTGATCTTATGATCTTGTCCCTCCTGTTCTTCTGTCTCCCCCCAGGCTGGCGGCGAACTGATTTCTTACCTCTAGGTAAATAAAATAAGTAATAAAAGAAGGGTTCTCTTGGAACAAACTGTAATTTTGCTGTCATGTATTTTTAAAAAAAGCAATCAGATGTCATGATAACGGCAACATCTATCAACTGAGATCCAAGCTGAGAGGAAGCACAGCTGAACGAGTGTTTCAGTGACATCACATTCTGTAAACATGAGCGTAACGGCAGAGTGTGTTGGAGTCATTGCTGTGAAATCTGTGTTGGAGAACCCGTATTTGTGCAGGTGCTGTCTGAGTCCAACGGTTCCAACATGTGGTTGTGTAAGAGGAGCTTCTCTGACCAATCAGCGACTCCCTGCTGCTCATGATGTCACCACTGAGTGTCTGCTCTGGTTCCCCAGCAAAACAAAAAAGATCTAATCAACAGCTAATGATGTGCAGAGAAGATTCCAACTCTACACTTTCATGAACATCGTGTAGTGGAATGACAAAAAATAATAATAATAAGAAAATTTAACTACTGAAATAAAAAATACTAATAACGGTAGTTGTTAGTATTATCTCAAAGTGTATTTATTTATTTATAGAAGATTTTTAGAAAAATAAACAATAATAAAAATAAATTTATAATATATTATTCTTATTTTTGTTATTATAATACATTATTATTAAAGGTATGCGTTCATAGTTATTAACACTCCTCAGCTACTTTAACCTCCACAGAAGAGACAGAATGAGCAGTATTGTGTCCCGAAGATGAGTCCTGGGGGGGCCGTGGCCCCCTCTTTAAAAATGCTGAGCTAACCCCCACACCTCCATTCACATCATGGAAAGACACACAGATTAACCTTTGCTATAAATGTAAAATAAATAACTAAATATTATTAGTAGTAGTATTTCTTATTTATTTATTTATTTACTGTGCCTCCCAAAGCATCTTTACTGTCCTGGTCTGATCACCTGTGGATCATTCTTCCACTGAGAATGATCCACAGTCACTAATGATTTGCATACAGTGAGTACCTTTTGTCGTTTTGCACAAATTCTGAGAAAAAAACCCAAACAAATAGGAAACTGATCAATTCACTCATTATTCGCTCATCATTGACTTACATGCACCATATATAAAAACATGCATCCTGACGTAAGCCTGCATGGTCCATAATGATTATTGGATATAGATAACGCTATCAGTTCAGAATTATCAGCAAAATGTACCGAGCCAGAACATTTCAATGATTTGTCCCTGATTAACCCTAATGTGAACACTGAGCAGCAACAGCAACTAACCATTATCTCTGCATCATTAGGTGCACATTTAATTACCTCCTCAAGTTTAAAAAAAAGAAAAGTACACTGAGCTCTTCCTCAGTACTTTCTTCGTTTTTAAAGTACCATGTCTGCGTTTAAATTTACTGTGATTTTTAATCATGCTTTTTATTGTAGCCAGTAATTAGACTATAAAACTAATTTCTGTTGAAGGAAATCAGAGACATCAGGACTGGAAACAGACATTTTATTTGTTGTTTTCAGAACATATCTGCTATAAATTCAGTTCAGGTTGTTATCTTTCACATCAGAGACACAACAATCGAATAAAAATCAAGTTTGAGGGAGACATCTTGTCCATCATAAGTCGTCATGCTATTAGCAGACAGGCTAACAACAAACTGTGGATGATAAAATAAAATGCTACTTTAAATGCTTACGATGGGGTTGCCATGTGAACATGAGTTATTTGTGTCCAGCTTTGTGTGATTTCATCTCAGCATCAGTTCAGCTGCTCTCTGAAAGTCCTGGAGGTTTTTAAGACAAAATGTTTTAAGAAGCATAACTGAGATACTTCTAGTTTTTACCACATTAGTGCCCTGCCTGTTTGCCCACTTTTTGTCACATCCTGTATCACAGATACATATCAGCGTTCACACACACACACACACACACACTCTGGAAATCTGAGAGTGTGTTGGTCTCTCTTCCTCTGTACCTAGAGTTCCTGGCCCTGGGGGGTGGAGAGTCTCTTCACCCGTCTCACACGTCCAACCCAAACACACAGGAACCCACACACACACACACACACACACACACACACAGGCAGCAGACCACATCACAGGGGGTCCATTCCTCCCAAAGTCCACAGGTCTCTGGATAAACATATTATTCTGGATGAAATGTTTCCCGTATTTGTTATTCTTTGCTCCGAGACTCCAGGTGGAATTGGTACGAAACCAAAAATCATACACGCACAACTCTTTGAAAGAAAGATGGGGAATGTTCCAAGCGGAGGCAGAGGGGAATGAGAATTCCCTTTCGGAGCGAGACCTTGTAACAACATTTGTGCAGATTTCTTGCGATCGGCCCAGATTCTTCCCTCTGCATCCAACAAAGGCCGGGCTGTGTGGTGGGGAAGCGGATCTACCACTCGCCGTCCCGTCCCCAAAAACCAGGAAGTGCTCCAAAAACCAGGAAGCGCTCTGAATCCGATCCAGCCGGTCCGAGAGGCGCTGGTCCTCACAAGGAGGCGGCGGTGTGTGAGAGTGTTTTGCTGTTAGCTGCGTTAGCTTGAATGGAGATAGAAAGTGACGGCTGAGCAGCGGCTTCCAGTCGACATGAAAGAGTTCGGAGGCAGACGGTGATGATGGCGGTGTCTCGCTCACTTATGCAATTACATTCAAATTGCTGCCAGAGCTTCTAAACCTGACTGGATCCGCACCGGGGCCCGGAGGGAAGCAGGCGAAGAGGTGATGAAGTGTGCTGAGAGATCACACACTGCCCACCTGTAACTCCATTGGCAGACGGGTGGATGCTGGGCGGATGCAGGGACGCAGCGGTGTATTTCCTGAAGGTGGATGCAGACACGTTGTAGCACCTGCAGCTACAGCACAAGACAACAGTGACCTTTCATTTTACTGGTAACTTAAGCTAACCTGAATACTTACAAGCCTCCTCTTGGTAGACTGAAATTACTCATCTAAAGTCTGTCAACCACTTTGGAAAGTTTTTCCATCCCTGCTACGTCTTTATCTTTGTCCCTTGCCCGTTTTTTTGTTTTCTCTCTCCAAGAGTTTTTCTGCTTTTGCTCCCTGTCATAAGACGACAAGATTCAAATGAATCTCGTTTTGGCGCCCCCACTATCCCAGCTATGTATCGGATATGGCGCATATAAACCTTTTTGCGCCTGTGGATGGATAGGTATGGAAAAGTATTCATTCCCCTTTATTTTTTTTTCACATTGTGTCAAACTAGACCCATAAACCTTTGTGTATTTATTGGGATTCTAAGACAAACCAACATAAAAAAAGCTCTTAATTGTGGCATGAATGGTTTTCTTTTTCGTTTTGCAAATAAGAATCTGAAATGTGTGGTGTGTAGACGATCTGATCCCCAATCCATGATATCGTCACCTTCCTAAAACAATAGCCTAAGTTGTTGTTGTTTTTGCCGCACACAAAAAAAACACCACTTCTTTATTGCCAATAGATAATGTAGGCAAAAAAAAACAAACACTTTTGACAAAAAGTGACTTCAGATATTTATTTTAGGAAGGTGATGATATGAAAATGGAAAGAATACAACTGCAAGATGACCAAAATATTGTCATCCACCAACACTGGAGGAGCTGCAGGGAAACACTGCTCAGGTGAGAGGACATGTTGTAATTGACAGCCATTAGTTGTGCACTACACAACTGTGGCGTTAATGGCACAAAACCATTCTTAAAGGGACAGTGTTATGAATGTTCCAGGCACATAGTGCCGTTTTACAACACAATCCAGTAACTATGACACCTTCAGTTATTATAAGTGCTGCATATGTCAAACATGACTTGAACGAAATTTGACTTTTGCAATTCATCGCTTTGAAATTGGATCTGTTTCTTTAAAAAGCTCTGACAGTCTGCGTCATTGCAACAACGTTTCTCCATTATGCCGTTTGCAACGGGGGTTTTTTTAGGAGCGTTTAGAAGTAGAAGTGAACCCAGCAAACTCGCAGTCTCAACAGGCGTTTGCTAATTGCGGCTGCCGCTAGTCTGGAGGGGGCTGAGCGGGGAAGGTGCTTCAGAGAATCCTGAATGATTCAAGGATTTCTCAGAAATGCACGAAATATTCAACACTCCAGGGATGTTTGTGATGATGGAATAGCATTATAACATGATCAAAAAGGAAGATTTTACATCATACAGCCCCATTGACAGAATGCCATAAGAAGTCCTGTTAGCTATTTGTAGGAGAAAGAAAAACAAGTGCAAGACGGTTCTCTGGTTAAACGAGAAAAATATTAACTATTTTAGCCTGCATGCAGAGATAAGATGGATTATGCAAAACACGTGGCAGTTCTAAGAAATTCAGGCTGCGAGAGACTTTAAGACTTGAGCAGAGGTTCACCTTCCAGCAAAACAGCAGCTCTACACATAAACCCAGAGCTAGCAAGGATTGGTTTAGACCAGAGCGTGTTGACAGAATAGAGCGGCCCAATCAAAGCCAAGACCTTAATCTAACTGGGAAGACCTTAAAACCTGCTGTTAACAGGTGCTCTCAGGGCAGTCTGACTGAGCTTGGGCAATTTTTTTTTCTTTTTTTTTTTTTTTTGGCAAAGAAATTTCACTGTGCAAAAACACATCCCAAACCTGCAACTGCATCAAAAGGCACATCTACAAAGTATTGAGTCAAGGAGCAGCTGAATACAAATGAGACAAACTTTTCATTTTTCTATTTATGAAAAACGTGCATTATTTCCCTGTGTTAAAATCCCAGTAAATCCCAGTGAAGTATGGGGGTTTTAAAGAGACAAACGCCGCATTTCCCAAGTTTGAGCCAATGGGATGAAGTCCCTCTGCCGTGTTAGCAGTCACCACACAATCCAGTCACAAGTATGACAGGATCTGATGCTCCCCGCATACTAATCCCCGCAAACCTGCAACACGGACTTATTTTATTTCCCTGCGACGTGTTTGTTTTCATAAACCAGCCTCTCCACCCACACCTCCCCCTACATCCCCAACTTTTTTTTTTTTTTTTTTTTTCTCCCTCCTCGGACCCCCCC